CCCCTTATATATTATGTAATTCCAGGTACACAGTCAGCAACACAATGAAGTAAACATAAAAAGAATCATCGAAAAAATTATTTCAAATTCCAACTAGTCTAAAAACACGTCTAACAAATTTATTTGAAAACACCACAATGAAATCCAACTGCCTAACATTGTTTTTTATTCAGCACTACAAATTTAACAGGCCGTTATCATTGTATAATCATTGAATAATTGAATAAACTTAGACATAATTTATTTTGAATTCCAACAAATTTAAAGGCATACCTAACATACCAATTTGAATAAATCGAAAATTTGTTGGAATTCAAAATAAATTATTTCTAAGTTTATATAACTATTAGATGATTGATCAACGATAACGGTTCATTAAATTTGTATTGTTAACTAAAAAACCACTTTAAATTTCAAAAAATAATGTTAGGAAGTTGGATTTCATTGTGGTTTATTAATATATATTAATTAATAATTTATAATTATTGTATAGATTTGTTAGATGTGTTTTTAGACTTGTTGGAGTATAACTAATTTTTATAAGGTGAAATATATCTAAAACTTATATTTAACAAATTATAAAAATTGTCTTACAATACCGAACATAGTTTTATAGATATTACTTGCTACATTTTTACAGTTTTGTTTCGTATGTAGTGCTGGGCATGTACTTAACACTATAAATCTTTGAAGTTTTAAAACTTTTAAAATTTTTTCCACAAACTCCTAATTTAAATGAATATTATTATAAAATAAGTCATGAGTAAGAGGTAAAAATTATATCAGACTCGAATAACCGTGAGCCGTGGCTATAACAATGTATAAACGGTATATTTACGTAATACCAAATGCATAGGCGTTGCCAGACTTTTGGTTCAATTGTTTCAAAACTCACATTTTCTTTTACTAACCCACCCCTTACCCTTGTATTGATTAACAGAAAAATATCAAAAGGTCTTTCACGTAGACTGTACAGTATGAAAATATCACTGAAGCTTAAGATTTTATTAAATAAATCATTTTGACTTAATACAAAAATATACCATTATACTGTTAATTATGTCAATCTTTATGTTTGAAAAAATTTATAATTTTATTTTTTAGAAACCATGATGTAGAAATTTGTTTTAAATTTTATATTTACCATTTTTAGTTAGTGTGTATAATTACGATTGACAAGTTGACGAATAAAATAAACAGTAATTTAAACGTACGTTCGTCGATAGGTACTTCGCACGATAGGCGCAACCACTGTTGTTAATGAGAAGTTGAGAAGGTAAGATAATATAGAGAGGATATTAATTTGTATCTGTAAGCAACGATTAACTATAACTCATACAAACGATTCTGAGGGGAATTCAGTTGATAGTGATACTTTGTCAACAATATAAGTATATGTATGTACATATAATGGAAAACTAATTAAATAGACATTACCTGTATATTTTCTTTAACAATATTTGTTTAATATTGTACCAATTTGTCCGTTTTTCTAGTGTTTTTTTTTTTTATGTTAAAAAATTTTCTACTGGAATACGTGCTCGGATTTCTAGGTGTAGCACCTTTTTTGAAAGGAAATCAGTGTAGAGAGGTCATTCTTCGATTTTAATAGGAGTTTTCCCAATAAATGTGAAAAACCGGAATAAAACACGAGAAAATCGGGGGAAAAGTCGACAAATTGGAATAATCGGCACAAAATTAAACAAACATTATTAAAGAACATATATAAAGCCTATTTATTTACTTTACTATAATATGTTNTTACGGGTATACATTAAATTACCGCTGACAGTGACTGCACCCGTCCCCATTATCCTGAAACGTCTTTTTTAAATTTAAAATTCAACGAAAATAATTCCATTTTTAAAATATTTGTTTGAATATCAATGGAAGGTTTTTTGTCTATCGAGATTAACAACGTTTTGTTATGCACAATACATAGTGTCATTTTACTTTATTACGAAGCTTTAAATCAAGTGCTTATTTATCTTTCGTTTTGTACGGTCTGATTTTAATACAACATAATGCACGTACGGCACGACGTACCCGGTTATGCGAAACACAATCCAGATACACAACGTTTCCGAATATTATGATATTACGATGGCAGGACGCGTATAATATCGTTTTGTGTACGCGAAGACATCAAACATTTGAAATGTAAACCCGAGTCATTCGAATATAGTATATAATAATATTATGCATATTTGTAATTTAATCAAAACTGGTGACTGAAACGGTTCAATGATAATAATATTAAATTATAATATCGCACGACGTTTGCTTTTAAATTCGGTCTACGAGGTCTGTAAATACAGTATATTATTATAGAATCGATATCACGAGATGGCAATATTTTACTATTATCATGTACAACATTACATCGCCCGAATCTACATTGGTATCGTTTCCTTTATCAATTAATTTCCGCGAGCATACAAGGGGTCGAGAATAGAAAATATTCGATGATTACAACAATGTGCGTTTCCGTGACAATAATGATTTTTTAAAAAAGATTAAAATAATAAAAAATTAATAATAACAAAAAAATAAATAAAAACGGTTGCCAATGACAACCTTATTTTTAATCTTTCAATCTTTTTTAACCTAAAGAATCAAGTTTTCCTCATTATCTCGAATACTAATGAGAATTTTAAAAAATGACCTCTATAAAGTACTACCCAGATAACATTTCTTTTAGAAAAAGGTGCTATACTTGATAATTGGAACAAGTTTTCTAGTAGAAAAAGTGCTTACATAAAAAAAAAATTAACATTATTGTAAAACCAATATATTTCTCGCTCCGCTCAGAATTTATAATGCATGTAATAAATAATAAATACAATATTTTAAACAATAATAATAATAATAATAAATAGTATACATTGTAATTTTTTAATAAATACAAATTAAAATTGAATAAAAACGAAAACAATTTCAAACAATGAAAATCGTGTAAATAATTGCAATGAGGTAATGTTAAAATGTTTAATTTATCTCATAAAGATATATTTACATCGGATATTCTATAAAACAATGGTCTGCTTCATGAGACAGTATTAATGAAAAGCCGAAAATTAAATGACGCCATTATTCAAACTACACATTTTGGTAAAATTACCATCTTTGTACTGGATTTTGCTGTTTTATACGCTGAGAGTAACTGGCACATTTTGATCACATTTTGGTCGAGGAAAACTGGTATATTTTTTAAATGCCGAAAATAGCCGCTGGGGGCAACTGGTCAAAATCCATTTATAAAGTATCTTGTCCGTCCGTGCAGTGCATATAGAATAATATTGGAATCTGATAAATGTAATTGTAAATGATGATACAAGCACAAAACGACGACGTATACCAACCTATATATAATTCCGAAATTAGATATTTTATTGTTCGCGGTGTTACGGCTGGACATAAACATATATCAAAAACAATGAGAATAATAATAAATGTATAATAATCGAATTGTTTGGAGAAGAAAATATTCGAAAGGAGCACGTTTTGAAAAAAATATCGACGTCCGAGATTAAATGCAATTAATAATTACCCCGTTTCATATTATTGAACGGCGGCGTACTATTATGTTATGGCCGAACAAATATTTGGAAGTAGGTATCTGTGTGATCTGTGTCGTTTAATCTGCTGGTTACTTTAAGTAGCTTCTCGTATTCCGTTTTATACTTTCGCGTCTCGGATATATTTTGCTGTGAGCGGATCTGTTGCAATTTTTTCACCGTATGTTTTAATGTAAACTCAAAAAAATATATAAAGTTGACCGTGTAAGTAATGCTGTTTTCGTGATAATAGTATAAATATTTAATTATATCAAGTGTCTCACATATTAATATAATATTGTGTTGCTTATATCTCGCGAGCAACAAAAGTGTTAATTATCCGTTTTCGAAATTTAAATTTTTAAACGTCAATAGGTTTTTCAATCTACGTCTTCTGCTCTAAAATTTATGCTGATATACCACCATTTACAGAAAAACACTCAAAAAGTGTTTTTTCAGACACTAAAAATGCTGCCTTGAACAATTATTGTGAAAACACCAAGAAATTTTTTTTTTTATTCAGAGGCCGGTAGGTCACGTGAAACATACACATAGTACTTTTTGAATCGGATGTTTAATGTTTATACTCTCGAAAATATTAACTAACTCTAATGTGTGCATTTATTCGCTAATTATTATAGCACTGTAATATTCAATAAATAAATGTTTATCCAGTCAGTAATTAACTACAACTGTTATATAATTTATTATAAATGATAAAATTAATTTTGTTTCTAATTTTGGGGATACTAAATTAAATACTAAATACTAAACTTAAACCCATTAAAGTTTCAATTTCAAAAATATTTTGAAAAAAATAACATACTTAATCAAACATTAGAAATACATGATGATATAAAGACTTTAGAGTAAAATTTTGTATTTAATTTTATTCAAGGTTCGTTGTGAAAAAATAAATTAAAATTCACATCTAAAAAAATATCGTTATAAAATACCATATTTTATGTACATAGATGATTTGGAAAT